ATACGATTCTTGACGTACCCGAAAGATGTTGTATTAGCGGCCCTTTTCAGACCAACATCCAACATCGCCAAAATATGACTGTCTTCATATAAGGTACCATGATGACCTCAAGTTAAAAGACCAATTCCACTACCGAACGTTAAAGATTAACCACTGACACTCAGATACTTATCCATGTGGAATCTCTCGACGGGTCTCCAATGTTTTGTTCTATAACAAAACATCCACGTGTTCATTTAAGTGTCATCACACTTTAACTTGTGAGATCAGTTACTTACTTCACAAATAAGAAATGCCACACGTGATGGTCTATCCGTAAAAACGATATCCGTATCTCGTTATTACTTATGACCACGGATGATTTAAGATTCAATCAGATGTAATTTGTATCTCACAATCACAACTCCTTATGATCAACAAATTACAAATATTTGAATTTACGAACTCTATTATTTATTTAATTGTCTATTAATTAAATAATAGATCTGCCATTTAATTGTATTAATTATATATAAAAGTACTTATATCCAAAGTTGATTGGACTTAGGGTATAATACTTACAGTGATGATATAAGGAGAGCAAATAAACAATCCTTCCAAATGGATATGATAATTCATAAAGCAATCATCATGGAGTTTAAGGTCCTGATTGACCCACATTCTTTAAAAAAAGAAAAAATTATTAAATAGTTATTTGACATCATTTTAACATACATTCTTTAATAAAATAATATTACACGTAAATTTAAAATTTTTTTTAATTTTTTAATCATGCATTTTTCATCTATATATTATTCAAAAATACATTCTTATGAAAATAATGTGATTCAAACAATGGCTAATTCTCTCCAACGCGTCATGCATTAGAATTTAATTCTTACACAAAATTGGTCCAATGCAATAAACTTTCAAATACCAAGTGCACTAATGTCACTTCTCCCGAGATCCTCTCGTCATCAAAACAAATTGCATACCCTAACTCTAACTATTACATCATTAATAGAATGAAGTGTCAACCTCTCATACTACAGCCATGGACAATCAACTTTTTGATTTATTTACAAAATGGTATCTTTTGTATTAAACCATACTTTGTATTTCACTCAGTAAACAAAGGCACTTATATTCGTTCAAAATAATCCAACTCCATTTTATAAAAACTAGTAGTAAGCACATGCATTGCAGATCACATGTATCAAATGAAATACACACACGAATAAAAGTTTCTATAAATTATGTATATAATGTGAAAATGTTGAATAAGGATTAATTGCTCTTATTTTTCCATTTCGAAGACGGTATGTTTTTCTTTTCTCAGCATGGGAAAAAAAAAAACCTTTTCAATTGTGTACTTAAACAACCTAGCATGAAAATTTCTTCCCTAAAAACATTAAGAAAAAAATAACCTATTAGCCTAATAGTGTAACTTTTATAAGAAAAATAATGGCTAATTCTGACATTATATTATGGATTAAGCCAAACGAACAAGCACAATGACAGAAGCTTGTTCCAGGGGCTGAAATGTTATCCCCAAATTGGGATTTTTTATTTTTTTTTAAACTTCTAATGAGAATTTGTCAAGTGTTTGTCTACTTGAAATTTTGTCACCGAGCCTATTTCTGTAGCAGAATGGTTAAATAATACCTCTCCATCATAAAAAATTAGTTTTAAAACTTCAACGGGCCATTCTTATTGCTGTAGATTTCAATGGAACCTTTTCGAAATATAAACTTTTATAATCAACTCCGAATGCATTCAGTTGTCTTATAAAGATATAATCACAATCTTTACTTGGATACATCAATTCTACAAATATGAAAACAAATTTAAGGTATGACAACCAAATATATGTTAGCAATTAACAAAATGAAAAAAAAAAGGTTAATATTTTTCAAATCAAACTGACTACCTATTTTGTTAATTTATTTATTAATCAAACCTTGTTCCTGTTAGTGTTTGACAATGATATATTCATCTGTGATTTTTCTAGCATACAAAATAAAAATAGTCATTGATATATAAGTTTAATAATTTATTTATCAATGTAGAATAAAATCATATAGCAAATATAGAATATATCATACAAATATATACCAATATGATGCAACGATATATGCTAATTATAATTAACATTTCAAAATTAGTTCAATACTGAAAATTGGGTAAATATGAAAAAAATATTATCAAATGATTTTATTTAATACAAAAATCAGTCAAAGACTAGTACAAAAGTGGTGGTTGTTCACGTTTCAACAAAATCTTTTTGCCAAAGTTCAATATAATTGCACATATGCCAGTGTTCCCTCATCTCTCCTAAAAGTAGTTATTAAATCATAGTTTAATAAATAATAAAACAACTAAGTAAAAATCATAAAATTAGAAATATTAAAATATAAATCGTCAAACCAAAGATGAGTCACAAATGGTTGAAAGAGATATCCAACCAAAGAGGGCTCCACAAATTCATAAATATGAATCAAAATCTTAATTGCCAAAGTTCAATATAATTGCACATATGCTAGTGTTCCCTCAGCTCTCCTAAAAGTAGTTATTAAATCATAGTTTAATAAATAATAAAACAACTAAGTAAAGATCATAAAATTAGAAATATTGAAATATAAATCGTCAAGCCAAAGATGGAAACACAATGGTGGAAAGAGATCTAGCATATAGATATCCACCAAAGATGGCTCCATAAATTCTTAAATATGAATAAAAAAATAATGCATATTTGCATGACTATAATGAGATATAATACCGTCGGGCTGCCACATGATTAGTACATTTTAAACGGATGTATGTACATTGAGAAAAAAAAAAGAACTACATTATCTTTATGTCATAATTAAAAATTTTGTCAAAGACCAAAACAACCTTTTTTTTTTTTTTTTTTTTTTTAAATCAATTCCCAACATGAATACATAAGCATCATTTAGACTATTTTCGAGTTTTGAGAAACTCTAGCCCACCACAAATTGTTTTCGTTGACAACAGATCTTACCTTTAGCCCGCAATAAATTGTTTTCATTGACATGTACTTCCAGAATGAGAAATGTTGATATTTATAGCTATAATGATTTTAATTATGTTTATCACAAAATGTAGGTACTAACACTCAACAGCCCTACATCTCTCATCTCATTTATTTACATTAATTATTAACTATAAAAATAGAAATCTCTCTTTCTCTTTCACATGCTTTCCACTGGCAAGAAATTAAAAAACGTAGCCTCAACAAGCTATCTCCATCTTCCTTCATTGAATGTTGTCTATGTATATTGAAAATTTTAATAGAATATAGTGGAAAATAATTGAGGACTTAAATGTGAAAATGAGCAATGATTATAAATGTTTCTTCTTGTTATAATGTTGTGTAGTTAATAAAAATTTTAGTAGGAATGTATTTACCTTATCATTTGGTATTCCAACATTAAAATTAAATTTTATCAAATTATAGTAACATTCTGTATGCATTAATTTTATTGCATTAAATATATTATTTAGTTAGGCATTGTGTAACAACCAAATGAAATAGCCGTTTAAATAAGGAAACACGGATGTTATTTTTTTGAGCTTATAATTAAAATGAAGGAAGAAATTTAAGTTATATTTTTACAATAAAAGCTGTTAATAAAAATCAATATATAATATTTGAGCCAAATTATTTTGAAAAAATATATTTTAAAATAGTAGATTGATGGAGAATGTGTGATTAAAAATGAGGAAAAGTTTTCAATTTACGTATAATATTATTTTATTAAAGAATGTGATTAAAATGATATTAAATTACTATTTAAAAAATATTTTTTTTTAAGAGCGGCTCAAACAGGACATAAAAATAAATTTACGAAATTATTGACAAATGGAAAAGAATTTTTTTTTTTAATTTCATGTCGAATAAATTGAATTAACTAATTATTAACAACACTAAATTTTTAAAAAAAAAAGGTGTATTAGGTATATAATTAAATATGTAAGAGTAAATTAGGTATTCAAAAATTTCTCCTCGATCTTCCCTTTTAATATATTGCCGATAAAGTAAAATCCTATTATTTATTCAATTATAATACAAATAGTTATCTTATTAAAGTAAATTCCTAGTACTTTTAGACACATATCCCAATAACAACAATTCCTATAAAATTCCTAAGATGCCAAGGTCTTGATGTTATTCTACCTAAATGACATCACCTTTATGGAAAAAAATAAGCCTTTCAGTTCTTAACAAAGAACGAGAGAGGACCTGCACCAAGGACCCAATTGTTTATCGGAAAGAAAATGACATCTAGCACCAGTTTAGATGACAGTGGAGGTCGAGCTAGAATTAATTAAAGATATTCAAATTTACTATACAAGTCTAGATGGATCCCTGTTGTTATATGCTAAACAAACCACTTATATTAAGAGCATGTTTGAACCACATTATAATGAGAATGAGAAATAGAGCCGTTATGGACCCCACACCAGAGATAGAAATTAAAAAATGGTGACTTGATATGATGGATAACGGTCATATTTTTCATTTTAATGAGGTAAAAATGTGGCTCAAATAAGGGCTAAATAATATTATTTAAATAGCAAATCATTAAATTAAGAAAACAAAGTTGTCTAGTTTATATACCATTCTAACTCACGCCTGTGATGATTGAAATTTACAAACCTAAAAAATCTCACTCGAACTAAGAATGCCTGAAGGTTAAAGTTCTATGTAGCTTTCTTTCCTACAAACGCAGACTTGGATCACAATGGGAAACACCCAGCCCGGAAAAGCTTACACGAAAAGAAGTGCATTATGTCAATGTCGATAGGTGTACCAAACATTCGGGGAAAAAAAAGAAGGCACTATAAATACAACAAGAACATCGACATATCCGAATTTGAAGCAGACAGGAAATTGGGTCTTCACTTAGATGGTGTGGCACCAGCTGGGCTTTCGGCAGTTTCACGCCGTAAACTGCTCTCTCTAACATAATTGGCCTTGGCACCCTGAGAATGAATGAAAATCGCTCGTTTCCAAAATAAGATGAACCAATATATAAATATGAACATGCAAAACATAATTAGAATCTTATTAGTGAACTTATAAGAATTTCTAAGCTTAGCCAGACAAGATTATGCTTGGCTCCAGGCTTCCTGCCAACTCATTTTAACCATAGCATTAATAATTTCAGAAAACAAATCAATCAAAATATCTTATAGGGGATCTCAGAAGAATTCTAGAAGAGGAATTACCTTTTGTTGGAAAACTATGACGAGATTAAAGACTGGAACTTTTTAAAAATGACAGAAGAAAATCACATATGAGACTTCAAAAATAGATGAACTTATTGGAGAAAATACAAGAGACAGTATGAAATTTGAGACTTGAAACACGTTTAGAATACGTTATCCTTTAAGCAATATTTGCCCCCTCTTAGTTTGAGATTACTTTTGGGATCCATCGACAATATCTTCGAGGATATGACAAGCCTTTGAAAGTTTGCACAAAGCAATTAAATGAAAACTCAACAAATGAACAACACTTTGACTTCCGAGTTTATGGTTTCAAGGAGGAAGAATGTGGTGTATGAATCTTCTATATATCTAAAATTCACCAATTAACTCTTTATGTAAATGTTTGGCAATGCTTCATTTCAAAAATTATAGGAAAGGAGGTGAACTTTCAAGGAAAGATACTATGTTTCCGATAAAAATTCAAACAGAATTTTGAGTTAAGCATTTCCATACCTGCGAGAAAAGTCAGAAATTTTGCTTCATTGTCCACTCTTATTCTTTCCGACTAAGGATAAATAATAAAAAATACTCCTGTTTTTATGTTTAATATTTGAAAAACAAACACTGTCCATTATTTTGTAGAAATTTAGAATATATAATCGGTTTCTTCTTCTTCTATTTTTTTTTCCCGTACTTTGCAACAGATGGAGCACTACTTTCTACTCTAACTGCCAACTATACAAGTTTCAAGTTCATCTTTACAGCATACAAACACGGTTCAACATAATATCAAGTTTATATCTGAAAACCACAAATTATGGATGTTTAACATTTAAGTCGTCAATTTGTATGATCTCATGATTTAAACTGAAGGCTGCTAAGGTATCAGTTACTTACTTGAAAAATTGTTCCAAGTTTCCGCATTCCTCGGGCCCGCAGCTTGAGAACATCCTTGGAAGCACTGGGATCTTTGAGAACCTGACATAAATGCAAAAGATAAGCACATAGTTTATTATACATAAAAGGTTCTTCAATTAATTGTTATCTTGCTTATTTCCGAATTCACACAATAAAACTTGCAGATTGAAGCTAACTCCCAGGAACCATATGAGCTACAAGGCATTCACTATTTTCTTATGAATCAAGCTCAATATAAAGCAGCCAAGGTAAGCTAATAACACTATGGAAAATAGCATACTGATATGAGAAAATTGCAGCATTGGTCCTCAACCTATGTCCTATATTAGAAATTGGTTCCTCATCTTTTTCTCTCTCTTTTCACTTGTCTTTTTCATTTCATTTTCTTTTCTTTTTTATTTTTATTTTATTTTATTTAAAAATAAATATATGGCTCTCTCTTCACTAAAAAAATTGATTTTCAATGGATTCTTGGTGGAGAAGTTCGAAGATTGAAATGTACCAGTTAGAGAAAAACTTGTACATAGACCATAGGTCCGAGAACGTGCTGCAATTTTCCTACTTATATTCACAAGAGGCTGCACAAACCAGCATCCTTGACTTGTATATATAGAGTCACAAAGGCTAACAAAATTCAGAACATCGATGAGCTTGTAAAACTTACTGCTTGGCAAACACGAGATAAAATTGACTCAATATCTGCCACGTTAATCTGCCAAAGGGAATTAACCATTGCATCTTTCTTTTCTTCAAACATTTTGATGGTATGCTCGTCCTTAATCTCTCCTTCACCTGACTTGGTCAACTCCTCCTGTATTTGAATCAAGGACACGGCGGCTGGAAATGGAAAGAGAGGAAAGCTTGGTGGACATTAGAGCCATTTGAACAAAGAACGATACTTAAATAGCAAAAGTTTGTGCACATATTGTCACCTGAAGCTGCTGAAACTTGAGACTTTATCCAATGCCCTTTATCCCGCACCCATTCGGCAAGAAACGGAACCTTCATGTAACGCTTGCCCTTCCCCATTTCTCTTGCAGCTTGTCTCGTGTATATGTAACCAATAGTATGCAGCATAGCCTCACCAAAAGCTGTAAAAATGATACAAAATGAGTACTATTTTCCTTTCAAGCATGGGTGGGTAAGCTTAAAATAGAGTAGTAACTTTTTCTTTCCAAACATGGTTGGATATGTTACTTTTCTCTTATTTTTAAGTCAAAAGGTCACTCATTTTGAAAGACAACTCTTGCATCTGCCAGAAAAATTCATTTTCCAGAAGTTGGAAAGGGGGCTTGGAAACAAGCTATTCCAGAAAAAAGATAATTCTTAAAAAAAGCTTTATTCGTTACACATTCATAGTAAAATCAAGATTGAAATTAGAAACACAATAGAACATGCAAGGCAACAATGCTGACCAGCTTCAGAAAGACGACGGGCTTCTGATTTTGCCCATTCCACAAACTCGGTAGTTTGACCTTCAACAAATGGTAGTAGACGATTTTTCAGAAGTACTATGAGCTTCTCTTCCCTTTCCTTTTGATTGGCCTTCAGAAGGAAAGAATATAATTCAGTTGTGTATATCTTAAAAAAGGCGTTTACAACTGCAAGAAGACATAAAGAAACCTTCATCTTCTCCTGAATTTTCTGTTTTTGAACTTCAGGGGCTAATTTTTCATCAACTTCAACAGATGCCATGGAAGCCAATGCAAGCTGCCCTATATAATCTTCAAAGTATTCACTCCCAAACATCATTCCAAACACAGCTGCAGGGTCAACCATAGAGTCTCTGGAGAAAATAGAGATTAAAATCAAATATTTTTTCCTCATCACTTCTATTTGGTAAGATTAAAGCAAAAGAAGCATAACGGTCAATGCATGTTTGGTACACAACACTGGATACGACTGCACACTATAATTAAATTCTAATTTTTTCTTTAGAACTATTATTGAGTCCTCCCTTACATACAGCCCGTAATTGCTTTTTAGCACAATAATCATCAGTTTCCCTAAGAGCAATTCTTCGTTTGGTTCGTGATGGCTGCAATTGCATGGATTGATAGGTGCTATTTCAAACCTTGATAAATGGGCCTAGTATTCTTATTGGCATCTTTACTAGTAATTGGCAGAGAATTTACATTGTTGTCTAAGACCAGTTTTGAGAGCTTAGAGTGCACCTTCTGGCTATAAATTCAATTCAGGGTTTACGCTCTTATTTGTTCAAAATAGTAGGAAAATCAAGATTTATACAAGAAAATTTATTAAGCTCCCGTTTGGCCCCCATTAATTTTCATTCCATTACATTTCATTTTTCTTTCTCCTATTTTCAACTACACAATTTTCATAAAATAATATTATACGCAAATCAAAAAAATTTCCTTCTTTTTTAACAACTCATTTTTCAAAAAAAATACTATTCTACCCATTTTCATTACCACAAAATGAGGGCCAAACGGGGGCTAAGTCTTGATAACATAACTATTTGCACAAGTTAGTGGTTCTAAATAACATCCAGATTCCAGATTTGCAAAAGGAATTTTATACCCAGATTTACTTTTTAACTATTAAATGTAAGCAGGTATATAGCAAAAATCATTTCAAAACATAATTGGTTGTAAACTCATAGTTTAAATAGAACCATATAATTGTTAGGTAGCTTGAGAACTGAATATATTTATAACAAATTGGATGGAAGGGCACAAATGATCCACTTCAAAGTAAAATGCTTGCATTAAGGGCACAATCGTATTTTCTGCATTCCGGAAGAATTTTCTTAATAAATGTAAGTTAGGATGAGTAATCATGAGAAAGGTTTTCCTGATTTTCTAATTTCTTCTCTCTCAAAATTACCCATGTCTTCATGGTATTTTATTCTTCCAAAACATGACTTTACAGTTTCAGCCAACATAAAAGTTGAGGTGTTTGCATCCCTTCCCAAAGCACTGTTTCCCTGTTTTTTCATGCATTTAGCCTGAAATATTTTTGTACCTTTCAACAAAAAGTCACATCAAATTTAATCCAACATTACTATCAATAATCTGGAAATTGTTGGACCACCACCTTCGTATTTGTTGAGACTTGTTAAATGTTTTTAAAAGATAAAACTTACTGTGGTACTCCCTCTTTCCCGTGTTTGTCATATGCTTCACGCTTTTCAGGGTCACTCAATACCTGATAAGCTTCTCCAAGCACCTGCATGCATAAAGAATGACCATAAAATGATTATCCTTCAAGGCAACACGAAAACTAGAAAGTAAGTAGACTAAAGGTTTTACCCTTTCACACCCCCACAGAAGAATATGTAATACATTAATACATAAGAGATAATAGTTTACAAAGTTGAAGAAACATTGTAAACAAGAATACAAAATGTCTTTTTCTATGAATTTGTGAGTTTTCTTTTTTTCTTATTCAAGGCTTTTGTAAAAAAATTAAGACAGATTTTGATGTGCATTTGCTTTCCTCGTTATAGGATAACAGAAAGAGGTTACAATAATTCCATACATTGCATCGTCAAGAAATTTCAGCTAATTATTTATGTGTAGTGATCAAAGGTGCCAACACATCTGGTGTAATCAGTCTCCGGAATAATTTGAAAGGTCAGGGGTGATGGTCTCAATTGATAGTGAGCTAACTAGATTGAATGTGCAACAAAGGTAACAAAAACTTAATCTCTATAGTTTATGTAATTCAATACTTAACTTAAGCTATTAACAGTCTTGCAGTCCATTTATTCCTATTTGCAATTAAGCATTAGATTTCCTTCAGAGTTCAATTAAATTTTAGCAATTTTAGGTGCAAAACATTGAGATTCGTCAATAAAAGACAACAATAACAATTGAAAAAATGTTGCAATCAAGGGAAGCTTTAACCCAATTTCTATGCTTTTATTATTAAAAACAAGATGAAATCTGAAATGTAAACCAAAATACACACAACTATAGTGTTCATAAACAAGCATCAACAGACATGGCAGGCCTGTTCATGTTCAAATTATGGATGCCATATTTCATAAGAAAAAGTAAAAAAAAAACAAAAACTTCGATAATTACATGTATAAGATCTTGTTACCTGGAAATTGTGAGCAGCTTGTGAATCTCCAGGATTTTTATCAGGGTGGACAACCCTGGCCTACATGAGAGTACAAAAAAATTAATTCAAGTTTCAAGCATTTCAACGTGGTCTCAAATGATATCTCTCCTGTTCTCAAGTTTCATGGAATGAACTAAAAAACATTCAAAAATAAATGAATTAACCTAAGTAGAACCTTTTAACTTTCACAGGCATATCATTCTGATATTTGACATTAACAATAAAGTTTAACCTGTCTATTAACCGTCCATACTGTATTTACAAAAAAATAATTCTGCACTTCTCTCAGCACAGGGAGAAATGGCATATCCTTATAGTTTAGAACTTTAGACGGGCGAATCAAAAAAAATATGCAAGCCGATGCCTGATGGTATATATGGAACTATGGGTATCAAATTTCAAATTTGAATACTAAGTTGTAGCTGAGTTCTGAACAATCATCAAGAAGTCAAATGTACACGGCAATAAATGGTTCACTGTTTTTCATCTCCGTGCTTCATGATAAAAGTACTTTGACTGCACCCACATGCATACAGGCTTAACAATAAAATGGAATAAGCATCAGTGCAGAGCAAGAGGAGTCAGTTTTGCTTGATTGTGTTAGTAAAAGCATTGATTCTCCTGACTTCATTCTCATTGACAGCTTGTATTGCGAATCTTAAACTGAAACACACACTAACAGTTGATACTAACCATCGGATGGAAGTGGATGGTATTATGAACAAGATTCTAGCTCCTTTCATTCTTTAATATTGTTGGTAAAGTGTACCAAATTTACCCTAAGGCTACATTTGGCATACCAAAGTAGACCGTAGAAGAAATTGTGCATAAAATTAGATGATATAGTACATGGAATTAGAATGGATTAAGGTGGATAAGAATGCTTTTTGTACTATCTTTCCAATCCTATTCCTATCTAAACCGACATCCTCACTCCATATTATGGATATCATTCGTTAGCTTAAGAAATAAAATGCAAATAATATTTTTTAGAATGAAAAAATTAATAACTAACATAAAACTTAATCCTCTATAACAATGTCAAAATACTATATGTAGTCAATTTTTATGCTTAATTCCTTACACGGTCTAATTCAGTGTATCAAACACAATTGGAAGGCGTTAACTATAACCTTACCTTGATATAGTAAGCCTTCTTAATATCCGCAGGCGAAGCATCAACTCCAACTCCCAAGATATCATAATATTCGGTATCCTTTACCATGACTTATCAGTCACAGAGTCACAATATAGACAGATTACACCGGCTCTACAAGCCTTCAACCATCCAAATGAGGAGAAACAGTGAGAACCACATCAAGATAAATCCAGAATGCATAACACAAAAAGTTCTAAAATAAACAACTACAGATGTTAATATGGAAAAGTTTTAGCACATTAGAAAAATATAAACAAGACGACAGAAATTTAAGTCCCATTTTTTTTTGGAGAAATGAAAATTTTAAATAAAATAAATGTAATAAAAGTTCTTAAATCATAAACAGATCAGAGCTGAAACAGCACAGAACACAATCACTCAACCTACAAATGATTATGAGCCGACAAAAATGGGGGAAGTGGCAAAATCACTTTAGTAAAGACAAGGAGAAAAAATGAAACCCACAAAATATGATCAACAAAAATAAATTAAGTAAATAGAATCCTACGCAAGCTAAATTAATTCTTCTCTGGCTCTCGAGTCTCGAGTTCCTTTGCTTGGGCAAATTAAGTTTATTATTATTTTGCAAATTCTTGATGTTATCTCTTTCTTATCTTTACGATATGAAATATTAATTTGCACCTGACGCCGTGATGCTGACATTGGAAAACTTAACCGCGTATTTACCAAAATACGATTCAAAATAACAATAAGGCCCTGTTTGGCACTCATTTTTATCAAAATGCATTTTTCTCTCTCTTTTTTTCAACCACACATTCTTCATTAAAATAATATAACACGTAAATCAAAAACTTTTTCTTATTTTTCAACCACACATTTCCCATCAATTTACTATTCAAAAATACATTTTCACATAAAAATTCCTACCAAACACCCTCTAATAATAATTGTGGATACTAAAATATGAATTTGCTACTTGTATATAAAAATGGAATTATTGAAAATGATGTGAAAGGAAAAGATTGGCAAACGGTAAAATGCCAAGCAGCATTATATAATCACTTATGTAAAATTTGATGTATATGTAGGGCCCGTTTTGGTAGGGATTTTGATAATTGATTTTTTGACCATTAGAAGAAAAGTGGGGTCCACATGTGAGAGAAGAAGTCAAAAATTACGGCTTGAATAGTAAAATAACGGTCAAAAAATTAATTTTTTGGAGCAAAAAATCCCTACCAAATGGGGCCGTAGTAAAGTCCAACTAAGCTTCCGTTTGAACCACATTATTGTAAAAATGAGAATGAAAAATATAGTCGTTATGGATTTCCACATAAGAGATAAAAAGTCAAATGACGTGACTTAATATGATAAATAACAGTTATATTTTTCATTTTAATGAGAAAATACTGAGACTCAAACAAAGCCTAAATAATATGTATTTTTAATAGTATTTTAAAAGGCATAATGCATGGAGACCAAACTATGGACTACACTAACTTAAGTAAGGTTTGGGAGTAAAAAAGCATAAAAATGCATTTTCTTATTTAATATTTTTTTAATTTTTAATAAATCAAAAAATTATTTAATAATTAAAAATAATACTTACTAAACATTTAAAACAGATTTATAGGAACTTTATACATCTTTTCAAAATTTTCAACAAAAAAGATAAATTTCAAATTTAAATACAAAATAGTAAATAAATAGTAGATGAACTTAAATCTTATCTAACTTTTTATCGGGCTCCAATTCAATATCTTCTTCTTCATGTAATTCGTCCTTCGTGTCTTCCAATACAAATGCTTATTTTAAGTTATGGCAAAATAAAGAAATTAGCCATTGACAACACAAATTTTTAAAATAAAAATTTAAAAATGATGATAATGCGCGCATTATTGCTCCTAAGCGCGCCTTAGCAATCAACGACGCCAAATAAGGCACCAAGCCACTTAGCTTGACATTTTGGATGAGCATCACATCTAGATACCGCCTTTTCGAACACTGCTTTTTAGTAAATGAATGTTATATTTCTAAAATTTTAGTTATTATTGTCATTTTATTTTTATTTTTTTTATAATCCTAGTTATTCTCTATAAATATGAGCATTTTGTTATCAATAAAATATACACAAATTTATCAACTTTTTGAATTTCTTTCTAGATCATAACACGGTATCTTCTCAAAGTCAAAGTGAATTAATTAGAAGGTAATAATTTTTACAAATATAATTATCTATTAATATATTAAAATTAATTTGATGATATGTGAATTTTACTATATACATGTACATATATATCATGACGAGACCACTTCTTCCTCTCATATGCTTTTTCTCTTATATGCAAATCCATAATGACTATTTTATTATCATGTATAATGATTGCTTTTTAATGGATGTTTTCATTCATCTGCACACATATTTACACGTGTCTGCATTAATGAATTGGCATCTTTTCAAGGGAAATGATAAATGTAACATTTATACAGCCCTCACAAGAGGGGGTCCCCTCTATAAGACTTGTTGTACGCTCTGGCATCTTTTCAAGGTAAATGATAAGTGTTGTACATTTATACAGCCTCCTCATAAAAGGGGACCCTTTCTGTAAGACTTGTTGTACACCAGACTGTACAGCAAGCATCTCCCTCTTTTCAAGGTGTGCTAAATAATTATTTGCACCTTTGCATGTCCATTATATGGATAAATTAATCTCAGTGTATAGACAATTAATTCACAGGGGATTGCCAAATACCTCAATATAGCAGCGGGCCCCACTTATTCAAAAAAAGGAAATTGCAACGAGCTCCATCATGTGAGTACCCTGGCAGGGACCTGTAGGTCCCTGTACGCCAAGCTTCGTTCTATATAGATTCATTAGTCAACGTTATAATGGAAAATTTATTGTCATTCGAATTGTAAATCTATATCTTTTGTACATCACATATTGTAAATTTGTACATATTTAATAGTCAACGTCACTTTTTTTTTTTTTTGTTGCTTTTTTTATCATTCAATTAATTATCACGTTCTTATTCTTTTTTAATATATAGTATAATTTAGGATTTTAATACTCTTATGTTTGTCCATTATAAAATATTATTGCTCTTAAAAGTAGCACAATATTATTTATCTCAAAGAATATAATTAAAGACGATCTAACATAAATTAAATTTTTACTCTTGAAGAGTAAAAAATTATATTTTTTTTTACTCTTGAACAGTAGCACAGTATTATTTATCACGAAGAATATAATTAAAGACGATCTAACATGTAATTGTTCTTTAAGAACATGAATTATAATTTTTAATATTTTAGAATAATATTGATATATTGTTTTTGAAGAAGTAGTAATAAAATAAAATGTTCTTTCAAAATAGTATATGTTTCAAAAAATATATCATTTTGAACTATTATTTATTCCTGAAGGAAAATATATAACTCATCTTATGTTGACGTTGATTGGTTTGACTACTTGATTGATTATTATATAATTATATGATGTTTAATTATATTTATTTTATTTTATTGTGTAGTTACTCAAATAGAAAACAACAGAAAACTTTAGATGAATTGTCAAAATATCCGTTTGGTTGATGGTGAAACTACGCATACTATTTTTTAACATAACATTAGTAGAAAATAATGTTAATATGATATTAGGTTCATCAAGTATCATTGAAAGTTTCGGAAGGGCTTGTATTTTTTTTATCAAATAATATAAAATTATATATGGATGATACACTTAATTCTAGTAAAGTCAAAAGAAATTTGTTTAATTTTAAAGATATATATTATAATGTATATTACATTGAGATGGTGGAATAAAACAATATTAAATATCTTTACATAACTTTTTTTGTATCTGACTAGAAGCATATAAAAGAAAAACTTTAGGCACTCCCTTCTAGCATGTATTATACATTCATAAAAATGATTGAATCAAACATTATGATGAACTAGAAGTTCTTAGACCCAAAAAATTTTATGTTTTGACATTATCGACTTGGATATTTAGGAACAACTCACATGGACATCTACTAAAAGAACCATAAGATTCTTTTTCCTAATGATTATCCATGTGTTGCTTTTTCGCAAAGCAAGATGGTCATTAGACCTTCTATTACAAACGTCAATATTTAATTTTCAACTTTTTTGAAAAGAATTCATAAGGATATGTGTGGATCGATACAACCACCATGCTAGATTACTTGCCCAAATCATAAAATTAGGATATTAATTTCTAGATTACTCAATCATGACAATTCGTCTTTCTATAATACTGGTGAATTTAAATCACAAGTATTCGATCTGTATCTCAATTTGAATTGTTATTGACCACTAGGTTGCACATATCCATATACAAAATGGGTTAGCGGAGTCGTTTATCAAACGTTTACAGCTTATTAGTAGACAATTACTTATGAAACAAAACTCTCGAACTCTATTTGGAGTCATATCATATTACATTCTGCATCATTGGTTCGTATAAGCTCAACTACTAATTATCAATATTCACCTTTTACAACTTGAATTTGGTCATGAATATAATATTTTTCACTTATGGGTTTTTGGTTGTATTGTCCAAGTCCCTATTTCACACCCACAACATACTAAAATAAGTCCAAAACGATGACTTGGAATTTATGTTAGTTATGATTTACCATATATTATTAGGTATATTAAACTTTTAACGGGTGATTTTTTTTATTGCACATTTAACAGGTTGTCATTTTGATAAAATGACTTTTCTAACTTTTGGAGAAGTAAAACTACATCATGAAAAATAAGATAAATTTTTTTAGAATGAAATAACTCAATCTCATTTTGATCTTCATAACAATCAATATAAGCAAGAGGTTGAAAAAATCATTCACTTGCAAATAATTGAAATTCAATTATCGAATATATTTGTTGGCACAAAAGTAACAACGTCATATATACTAATAGAAAATATTTCTACAAAAATTGACACCCTTGTTAGACAATATGCTATTGCAAATGAATTTCAAATATATCAGAAGCGTGGTCAACCAATCAATTCAAAAGACTATGTACTTCAAAAAATAAAGTACAAGAGAAAAATCGACCAAATTTTTTGAAAGAAGTAATATTAATAAAAATTGATCAATCAACTATTGAAAATATGGTTCATGCATAACCACAAAGTGTCCAAAAATAATGAGATTTCAATAAATTATTTATTATCTCATTAATTATGGAAATGAAATAACATTGTTATAGACAATATTTTTTGCTTTTAACGTGGCTCTTGAAATTATGTAAAATGGGGATTCTAAATCACAGTCTGTTAAAGACTATCATATAAAAATAATTGATCAAAGTGGAAAGAAGCTATACATGTGAAGTTAAATTCATTAGAGAAACGAAAAGTATTTAGACATGTAATTCTAACACTTGAAAATGTAATCTCTGTAGGATACAACTGGAACTTTGTAAAGAAGAAAAATGAAAATCATAAGATTACAAGATATAAAGCTCAACTTGTAAATCAAGGTTTCTCACAAGGACTTGGAATTTATTATGAGAAAACATATTCTTCAGCAATGGATACTATCAATTTTGAATTTTTAATTTGACTGTATCACAAAGGCTCGACATGTACCTTATAGATGTAATAACATTTGTATGGTTCAC